GCTTTATGATGCCCCTACTTTCAGTGTCCCTTACCTATGAGCAGCAATTCAAAGTGATCTTCTGCCTTTTCCTCCTATTGCCTCTGCCAGAGCTGAAGCAGATGACAACAGCTCCAGTACCTCAAATGAAGACCTCCTAGCAACAGCAAAAGATGATGATGATGATGATGTTTCTACCTTTTCCAGCTCTGATGAAGATGCTATTTAGTCTTAGTTTCTTTTTCATTGCACTCACTTTTCACTTACTTTCTGTTATTTCCCTGTATTTACTATTAACCACCATTTCCTTGTAAATATCGCACATTTCTGTTTACACCTTTACTACTTTATTTTCGTATTATCACTCTTAATCTGAACATTTCTGACATTTTCACTTATATATATCTACTCTATTTTTTGGCTTTATATTTGCTCTCTATACTGAATTCTGTGTATATTTGTGCAGAAAATGCCCTCAGTCCCATCAAGAGGAGCATGAATTTGACTCCTGAGTTGTGATTCTACTTTCTATGAAAGGGGGGTGATCTCTTTGCCTCTGTTTCCATTGTTCTTAATTTAATTTTCTTGCAGTGTTAAATGAAAATACAAAAATATTTTCCTTATCTCTCTTTTATTGTAGTCCAGTTTTGTAATTCCATAGTTACATTCTGATTGCATTTCTCATTCAACTCATAATCATTCTCTGTTTTTGAATATTTCTGTTCCTACCATGCTGAACATATTTTCTTGAAAGGTGCATTGTAATCACATGTTGTTAAGTAATTATCCTTTTTTACCATGGTAGAGAATTGAGCCTCAACATTCGTTTCTGTGTGCATTATAACATGTATATTTGCATTCATCTTCTAGAACTTGCCCTACTTCTTAATTGAATATGCATTGTGCAATCTTTCATGTAGATGATTGAGGCCATCTTTGCACACACCCACCTACCTTTCAACATCTATGCACCTAATTTTCCCTGTTCCACATTCCTTCTTCTGCCAAACTTAGTCTGTAAAAATATTTTTCTTACCTTAAGAGAGGTATTTCTTTTGAGTTGCATCAAGAGTGAATGCAATAAATTAAGTTTGGGGTGCTAATTATGATTGTAGTTGCTTGAGGACAAGCAAGCTCTTAAGTTTGGGGTGGTGAGGATTTTACATGTCAATATTACATGTAAATAAATAAATAAATAAATTTGCTTGAATTTGAAGAAGAGAATGATTGTCAAAGTCTATAAAAAAATGATGATGAAAATGAAAAATAAAAAGAAAAAGAAAAATACAGCAAGTCATTTTGATAGAAAAAGAAAGTCCACATTAAGCAAAACAATGAAAACAATGTGGTGAAAGAATGCTTGAATTTCACTTGCTACAACATTTAATGCATTCCACTCTAAGTTGTTGTATTCCCTCACTCAAAAGAATTCTCTTCTCTTGAAGTACCCAATTGAGCTTTTGTCCATCCTTGATCAAAATTTAGCCTAACCTAACCCCATTTGTGACCAACAAAGCCCTCATGATAGGTGGTTCATTGTATCTAGCCAAAGGAGATTGAGAATATGGGTAAGCATGTGGTAGGGTGAGGCAAAATGCATGAATTGAGGAAAAACACTTAGCCTGAAACATTGATGAGTGAAGAATAAAACACCATCCTGTAAGCTAGATAATTTCCTTGCAATATGTGGATTGCAAGAAACCTTGCTGGATTTTTATTTCAGTTTAGTGGGACTTTACTTGAAAACAATTGATTTGGGCATGATTTTCTTTGTTGAATGAATTCATGATTTTGGAAACATTGGAAGTGTCAATTAGAGTCAGATCTTGCAATGAAATTTTGAAAGAAAATTTTTGGATAAATCTAACCTTCTTACAAGTGACTTTATTGAATTTTGATTTGCTTGAGGACAAGCAAAAGTTAAGTTTGGGGTTGTGATGAATCCACATTTTATTAGATTTTTACTTGTCATTTTGATAGTTCTTAATAGAAAAAGCAAACTTAGGAATTGCAAATAATATAAAAACATCATTTTGGTCAATTTATCATAGGTTTCTTAATTTTTGGTTAAATTACATTGAGTTGCATAGATATAGTTTGCAATTTTGATCATTTGAATAATTGTGCAAGAGTTTCTAGACTTATTCCATGAATTTTTAGCATTTGAGAAAGTTTGAGATGAAAGTGATCACTTTGGAGTCTACAGTGAACACTACAACAAGCTAGATCCAGAAGGGTAGACCAAAGTGATCACTATGAACCCATAGTGACAACTCTAGAGAGGTGAAAAAGCACAAGACTGTGTGATAATGCTGCTTGTGATTGTGTTTGTTTAATGTATTGGAAATGTTCTAGAGGTGAGACTCTACGTTGATTGTGTGTTCTTGGATAGTGTAGATTACTCACCCTTACATTCATTTTTCAGGTAATCAAGACGATCAGCACCGGATTCAGTGAAGGGATGGATGGACTGTTATAAGACTTAGTTTTTATTTTGAAATTATTGTAACTGAACTAGTCTTGTAGCAGTCATTTGATATTAATTTGTAACTCTTCCCTTATTTCAAAGTATTTTATGAAAATTGGTTATTTTAATTTGTGAAATTATTATTAAATTGAAATTAAATTTAAGGTGTTACACTTTATGGAAGACAAAAAATGGAGTTAGAATGACTCAAAAAAGAATCAAACTTCCATATTGGAGCTTGAAAACATAATAGATGATCCTCGTATTCGAGGCACAAGGTTGCTCTGACATCTACCAAAGAAGCAACATAGTAGTGTGCAATGTAGCTATACATGAAGCAATTAATTTTGAAGAAGTTGCCATGGACCAGAAATGGATGGATGCAACGAAGGAGGAGTTGTACATGATTGAGAAAAATCATACTTGGGAGCTAGTTCAAAAATCTCATGATAAAAATGTCATCAGGCTGAAATGGATATTTAGAACAAAATTCAATCCTGATGGCTCCATAAACAAGCACAAAGCTAGGCTTGTTGTAAAGGGCTATGTGCAAATATTCAAGATCGTTTATTTTGATACTTTTGTTTTAGGGGCTAGACTTGACACAATCAAGTTAGTATTTGTCATTGTAGCATAATAGGAGTGGAAAGTGTTTCACATGAATGTCAAGTCAGCCTTTCTAAATGATTTTCTAGAAGAGGAGATTTATGTTGAGCAACCAGAAGATTTTACGATCAACGTAAATTTCTTTTTAAGACTTAGTTTTCTAAAAAGTCTATCAAAAGCTACACTTTATTTCAAACATGTTGATGCAGATATTTTAACAATTTCTTTGTATGTTGATAACTTTTTGGTGACAGGAAGCAACTTAGCACTAATTGATGATTTCAAGCAAAAAATAAAGAATGTCTTTGAAATGACGGATCTTGATCTTATGACTTATTTTTTGGGCATTGAGATCTCTCAAAAGAAGAATGAGATCTTCATTTGTCAAAGAAAATATGTAACAGAGATCTTAAAAAAAATTTAGCTTGATGAATCCAAAACAATAAACACTTCTATGAATCAAAAGGAGAAGTTTATTAAAGAGGATGGATTTGATGGAGTTGATAAAGCTCATTGCAAAAGCTTGACTGGTATCTAATGTATCTTACAACTTCAAGACTTGACATCTTATTTTTAGTTAGCTTGCTGTCAAGGTTCATGCATTGTGCTATTGAATTTCATTTGAAGGCAATAAAGAGAGTTTTGAGATACATCAAATGAACTATCAACTATGGAGTCAAGTACTCCAGGATACAACATTTCAAGTTATTCAGTTTTTCTGATAGATATTGGGTAGGTAGCTTAGATAACATGAAGAGTACTTTTAAGTTATTGTTTTAGTATGCATCCAGGTGTTTTCTCTTATGTTGCAAAATGTGAGAGATTGTAGCTCAGTCAACGGTAGAAGTTAAATTCTTAAAAAATTTTGTAGATAATCAAGCAGCAATTTCAGTATCACACAGTCGTATTTGCAAGCCTACACATAACATGAAGAGGAACCCATCATCTGAATATTTTTTTCACTTCTACCTTCAGAGCCTGTGCCCACTGAGTTGCGAGATCCACAATCCTCCTCTTACTTCATTTAATTTTTTTGCTTGGCAATCTTGTCATTTTTTATTAAAATTAAATATTAAAAAATAACAAACTTGTCAGAAGTCCTCTTCAACTATCTTCCTTTTTAACCTTCCAAATCTCAATCTTTGATGACTTTGATGATTATTTGCTTAGGAAATTTTATGTTGAGCAGAGTTCAACAGCAAACGATTTTCCCCTGCTCCTACAGTTCTACGAATTTCTGTTTGTTAATTACTTTGAAAAGTTGTATATGTAATAACAATCTAATTATCATAAATGACTCTTGCTCACCTTAATTAGAGTGTGTTCCTACCACTCCTCTTGTCCGTAAGTCAATCATTACTAAATTTGTGCACTTCACTTTTAAAACTTTGCTATACATTATGAACGTGTAAAATATTTTTAAACTTAAGTTAGAAAACTACCATGATTCGTATAGAACCACATTTGAAGAATTTCTTCTTTCTGCTATTCATGTAATTGTATCTCATTTGGAACAATAGTCAGAAGATTGAACACACCTACAAGCTACAACTGTTATTTGGAAGGAACATCTTTATATTCCAAGATTACAGGCTTTCACTGCATGATAGGCAGCAGCAAGCATTAGATCTTTTTGAGAATACAAGAGTCAAACCTAAGCAAATCACGTTTCTGGGTGTTTTATTAGAATGTAAGTTGTAACCGTGCTGGTTTGGACAGTGAAGCACCAACATTTGATACATACAAGTTTTTTCACATTGTATATGCAAAATGATGTAAACATACGTTAACAATACTTTCAACGTCACTAAATAGTATATAATAAAAAAAAATAGTAAGATTTTATTAAGAATTTAATATTATTTCATAAATTTTATAATTTTAATATAAATTATTAATTAATCTAAATTTTTAGTTTATATCACTAAATACATATTAAAAAATTAATTTATAAAATATAATACGCATCATGTTGGAACTTGGGCAGTACTTCCATTTGGATGTACTTGGCAAAATACTGGTAGGCTGCTTCTGTCGGATGGACACTGTCCCAAAATACATATTTTGAGGCGTCATCACATATCGGTGTGATTTCATTACAAAACGGTGTTACTTCAAATAAGCCAGTTCCGCAACACCCTCTACTACTTTCCTTGAAACCTGTGTGTGTGATAAAATGCCACAGAGTACATAATAGATATTACCAACAACAGAAATCATATTTTATGCAAGATTCTAATTAAATTCAATAATTATTTTAATACATGAATTAAGTTCAATAATTTTTTGAATATGTATAATCTAGTTAAAAGAGACTTATAGTCCATAAATATAGCTCACCGTATTTTTGTGGATGATTGATAAGGTTGATACATGGCTCATAAAGATCAGTGTAAACAACTCTGCTTCCTGGAAGCATTGCTTGGAATTGAAGCAATCGCTGTGATAATTTTCGATTGTAAAGTTTGGCATCTGAATTCTCTTTTGCCACACATTTGCGATCCTTTGAAAATGAAAACTTGGCTGTTATTTGAAGGGGTATGCAACCGATGGGAGGAAGCCCAGTGACAGCGAATTTTCTGCATCCAAGGTCGTATAGTTCCTACAATTTTATATACAAAGGACATGCTATATATTAATATTTATTAGTCAGTGTGTTTCTACACACCATTGAAATGCAGCCCATTCTGAATCCTCATAATTATAAATAGGATTATATATGATTTTAATCCTTATAAAATTGATCAATTTTTATTTTATATTTTAATAATAAAATTTATTTTTAATTTTTATAAAATGTAAGAATCATATATTTTTAGTCTTCGGTAAAGAAGTAAAAACAGTGTTTTTGTTAAATACAATGACCAAAAAGGAACGAAATTTAATTAAGAATCGAAATTAAAAGCTATAATTTTTAGAACTAAAATATATTTAAATTTTATAATTAATAAGTTTTTTATGTGTTGTATGAATATTTTAAATTTTAAATAAATTTATAAATTATATATATATACATATATATATATATATATACACACACACACTATTAATATTGAATATTTATTATATTAAATAGGAATGAGGTAAAAAGATAATGCTTTTCAAATTAAAAATAAAATCATAAAAAATTAAAATCAAAACACGTTATTTTTAATATGGCATGTCAAATTCAAAATTTAAAAAATAAACTTAAATAAATATTAATTACTATTAATTGAATATGCATGGACAATTTAATATAATGTATAAAAATTTAAATTCAAAATTAAAAAATATTATTTCAAAGAAATATAATTTGAAAAATGAAAAAATGCTTAATTTGAAAATTATCACATAATTTAACGAGAATGAGAATATCAGAGTCCATTTCTATTAACTGACTAATACATAACACATTGGTTATTATCTGAAATAAAAACTTAAGACACATAGAAATAGCAAAATGGACATTGCCCATTTTCTCATTATCTATGTTGCCTCTTTTTCTCACTCCCACAGAATATTTTTGTTCATTACGTAGAAAAAAATTGCGTTATTTATAATAATTTAACTACAAATTGATAATATATGACTTCTATGTACCTTGATGAAGATTCGAAGCCTATTCTGCACATAATCTTGGTATCCACTCATGTTGAACTCCAATTTTCTAATGGGAATGTCATAAAAATTGAAAAGGAAATCATTAGTTCCTGCACTAATAATAACCAGAGCATTTCCAAGTATTCGTTTAGCTTCATTTTCTCCTGCAATGCGCTTCAGCTTTGACACATATTCTTTGAAGTATTTAATTTGCTTAGACACTGATATAGCACCGGATAAAACTGTAGTCAAATCATCAAAACCTGATCCCCCAGATGCAAAGCTTACACCTGTAAGAAGTTCTTCATTTGATAGCTTTGGATCAAGGAAAGGAGGAACAGTGTCTTTGAGATTCAACGTAGAGGCAATGAAGTCAGGAACCAATTTTCCATTAGAGAATCTACCAGATGCCACATGGCCTGGGAAATCCTTGCCATAAGGCAAATGATTTCCTTTGGCCAAAGTGTTTATGTAATTGTTGTTGCCTGTGTCTACTGTTGAATCTCCAAACACCAGAATAGATGAAAAATTGAGTCTCATTAAGTCATTGCTTGCAGCAGCAACAATGGTGCAAACTTGCATCATAACGATGAAGTGAATTGTGTAGGTCATTGCTTTAACTTTTATACATGGTAAGATAAGGCTTTAGTTAATATATATATGTAGTGCATGTAAGAAGAGACTTGTAAATCACTTTAGAGTTCAAATTTGTAAATTGTAAGATAACTAAATTCAAGAAATCAAACGTGGAAATGATGGCAAGGCAACTACTTTAGGTAAGCAACAACAACAACACGAAGCAATTTTCCATAATTTCAATGGGTTAAGTTTTTAGTGGAAAAAGCAGCCCAGAAGAGGGAACACTAGAGAGCGGAAACTTGAGTCAGATCAATGTTGGCATAAAGCCCAGTTTAAGCACAACGTTTTTGTTGAAGATTCCAAATACATAATAAGACTGCAAAACGTAACAGCCATACTTAGAAACCATTTGAAAAAGTTAATGGATTAAAAAAATTAGACTAAAAAAAGAAAAACTTCATAGATAATAATTCATATCATTTATGACTTTTATAATATCGATGCAAATTAGTTTATTTAAATAAACTTTATAATTAATTTTATGACAAATTTTTATGTGAAATGAGATTATTTAATAAATGCTTGATTAAATTGTGTAGACAAATGTCTTTGATGTGATGTGGTTGTTAGACAAAATGTAAAAATTTGGTGGGATTTATGCTTTGTTAATTTCGCTTTCCATTTTTCTTTGCCGTCGTTGATTGCAATTCAAACGATACTTTGAAATGTGAATTCTTAATAATGGTGAAGAGTGCAATTAACTACAATTGTTCATTAATTTAAACTTGTTATACACTGTACAGCTTTAACAATTTTGCTGTTTATAATAAATGTTAAATATTTATCAATATCATAAATACATTTTTATTAAATAATTTTTAGTTCTATGATCTATTTATTTAACTAATGCTTTTTCAGAAGTATTAGTTAACATTTCCCTTAATTTATTACCAAAGTGATAAACGAAAAAAATTCTTCTTTCAGACTTTGGAATAAAACAAAAGATCTACGAATGACTCAAATCTCAACAGCATCTGATGAGGACGAGCTCAGGCCAACCTATGGGCTACCTAGTTAGACTCATACACAACACATTTTTTTTAATATGAAAATAATATATTTTTTTATAAAAATTATTTATTGTATTTTTAATATAATGAATACTTTTTTTTATTTCTAATTAATACTAAGAATTAATTTTAACATTCTACATTTTTAATTAATTCATTCTAATAAATTAATATTCATCAATTTGTACTTTATTTGCAAGTTGAAACAGAGCAAATTTGGCTTAATATTTTCTATTTACCCTTCATTTAATTTTCTTTTGACACACTTACTTCCTCTTTCATTGTCGACATCCTCTTCTATCATTAAGCCGGTGATTTTTATTTTTACATTTTTTTCATATATTGGGAAAGACTTGTTAAGTATTCTATAGCAATATTTGTTGTTATTCGCGTATTGAAATTAAATTTGTTATTGACCTATATTTTAAATTTAACCGGAACAATTGATTATACCAATTTATATCATTTTCTGTTAACAAAAAAAACCATATGATTTCTTATTTATCAAATACTCCAATTTGAAAAAATTGGGTTCCGTACAACTTAGGACCAACCCTAATTATACAGCTATACATACATTTTTAGATTTATAGACAGATTCGAGCTAAAATAAATTCAATCAAAGATAAACAATAGTTCTCAAAAACCCACTCACACTTAACTTTACCGAACTCAACAAGAATATAACATCATTAAGCACCAATTTTTATATTTATTGATTTGTTCACATCCAATTCGTGTATACTTATATCTAATTATTTTTGTTTTTTAAAAGACTTATCTAATTTCTATAATTTTGAACAAGTATCTTAATTAAATAATATTAAAAAAAACGAAAATAGACCCATAGGCCATAAACATCTTGTCTAAGTTAGCGGATTCTTTGAATAATTTCATAATTTGCACTTTCTTGTGAGAAAGGCAAATGACATTCTTTGCATGAACAACGAATTTAAAAAATCAGTGATAACCAAAATTGTTTTATAGTCAAATATTACGTTGTTATGGTTTTTCTTCTGGTGAATGTATTATCAATTCCTTGTGCAATCCGAGTCCCAAGATGATGGTTAAATGAAGCCTCTTATGAAATGCTGAATCTAAAATTTAAAAATTTAATACTATAAGTAAACTGTTTCTGAAGTCATAATTCATTAGTTTTTATTCCAAACACCAATGCATTATCATTATTTTTCTTATGAGGTTAATTTAGTTTTAATAGTTCTTTTCCTTTTAATTTCCAATAAAAACTTTATGAAGAAAATAAGTATTGAAAGAGCATTTTCTTTTTTAAATAAGTTCACTAGACAATTTGACTCAAATTAATCAGATTCTATGTGATCTCCAGATACTGAAAATTTACAGATAAAAAATACACTCAAACCTTGTACACTCAGATAATGTGCACTGAAATGAAGGCATCATTGCCATACCTCTCCCACATCATTATATTAGTAGAGATTGAATAATTTTTTGAATTTTTATCATCTCTTTATATCAATTGAAGGCATATATAATTTTGTTACATCTTACGTAAATAACTGAGGTGCCCATAAAGATATCACTTAAAATATAAGACTGATGTTGTTGGTTTTCACCAGTACTAAGAGTTGAACTGGGGCAGGACGTCTTTTTCAATATGCTTAGCAAGATACAGGTATGATGCTTCACTAAAATGGACACTGTCCCAAAATATATATTTTGAAGGGTCATCGCATACTGGTGTGAATTCATTACAAAATGGTGATACTTCAATTAAGCCACTCCCGCAACACCCATCGTTTGTCACCAAGATACCTATTTGATAAATTACCAACAAATGCACAAAAAAATATGAAACCAATTTATTTTCTTTTTGTTATCTTCCATATAAGTATAATTTATTTTAAAATCATATAGAAACTTTTTGTCTGTATAAAAACATTATAAAAATATAAAACAAATCTAAAGAAAGTCTGGGTAAGATATTTCTAAGGAACAGATATTTGCTTACATTTTTAATATGTTTAAAGAACAAAACATATAACTTCAAATAATTTAGTTTAAATATTAATGATTTAACATTTTAAAATAAAAAGGAGTAAAATAAGAAAAAGAATAAAAGTATATCCATTAATAATTTGAGTTAAAATATTTTATAAATAATTTAACTCATTTTAAAATCATGATAAATGTATTTTTACTTTGTCACTTTTATCCATTTTCTCTTTTTAGAACAGTTAAACTAAATATTAATACGATGAATTTAATCATCTCTTTGAGGCAAGGTATATAGGTACATATAAAGATAACTAAAAAGTGTGCTCACCGTATTTTCCAGGTTGATGGACAAGGTCGAGTGTAAAATAATACAAGTCTGCATAAACAACTCTGCTTCCGGGAAGCATAGCTTGTACTTGAGGTAATATCTGCATCAATTTTTTATTATATAACTCAGAATCTGAATTCTCACTCTCTATACATTGCCGACCCCTTCCCAACTTTACTGTTATTTGAATAGGTAGGCAACCAATAGGAGGAAGTCCAGCAACACCTATTTTTCGGCATCCAAGGTCATATAGGACCTACAATTTTACACAATTATAAGTGAGTATTTGAATTAATTTATTTTGACAAAATAATATTATATATTTATTAATTTTAAAAAAATTTAAAAAATCATTTTAAAATGATCAAGCATGCAATAATAATATTCGTTGTTCCCTGTATAGGTGCTTATTGTAAAAAAGAGAAAGTAACCATAAATCATGGTAAAATAAAATTAAAGTGATTGCAGTGATATTATGAGTTTTTTTAGCATAATTTAATTGAAATTTCTGATCCTTATTTTGTAGAAAAAGTATTTAAAAAATAGTAACACTTTTTTTTTAATGTCTAAACTTTTTTAAGCTTTGTTTAAATGTTTAAAAGAGAAAAAGAAATGTTTAAAAAGAAAAAAAAAAAGAAATGATTTGAAGTAAAAAAGGAGAGAGAAGAGAGGGGGAAGAAGGATTAAATATCTCTCTTATTTTAATATTTAAGACTAAGAGAGGAGGTAACAAGAGTTTAATGATTAAATAACATTATTATTTTTTATTCATATTTTTTATTTTTTTATTTTTTCAAAAATACAAAAAAATTAAATATTTTTATGTTTTATATTTTTTTAAAATTCTTATTTTAAAAAATAACATAATTTAAAAGAATTTATATTTTTCTATTCTTTTCTTTAAAATTAACATCACACTCTTTTAAGAAAGAAAGAAGAGATAAATTAATTATTTTAAAATTTTATTTAAAAAATTTTCTAAAAGAAAAAGTAAAAAAATTAACAATCTCTTTCTCTTGCAATTAATTAACTTCTAAATAAGGATTAAACCTTACAAACCTCTCCTTTCCCTTTATCTCTTCTCCTAAATATAAAATTTAAATATAATTTTAATGTATTATTTTTTTGTTCATAATATAAAGAAAAAAATTATTATGTAGTCACTAAAATTTTTTTAAACATTTTTAATTATTGTTAGCTTCAAAACAAACATGATTCAATTATAATAAATTACTTTCGTTTACCTTAACGAAGATTTGAAGCTTATCAAGCAGGTAATCTTGGTACTTATCCATGCTAAACATCAAACTTCTCAAGGGGAGATCATAAAAATTGAAAATGAAGTCATTAGGTCCTACACAAACAACAAGGAGAGCATTTTCAAGTATCCATTTTGTTTCATTTTCTCCTACAATGTATTTGAGCTTTGCTATATAAGCTTTGAAATATTCAATTTGCTTGAACATTGATATGGTCTTGAGTGGAGCTGAAGTCACTTCATCAAAACCTGATCCAGCTGATGCAAAAGTAACACCAGTTAAAAGCTCTTTATTTGATAGGTTTGGCTCCAGAAAAGGAGGGACAGTATCTTTGATGTTCAATATAGAGGCAAGGAAGTCAGGAACTAATTTTCCATTAGAGAATCTACCAGTGGGTATGTGACCAGGGAAATCCTTACCATAAGGGAGATGATTTGCCTTAACTAGAGTATTAATGTAGTTGTTATTACCTGTATCCACTTGTGAATCTCCAAAGACTAAAATGGACGAGAACTTGGGTAATGTCACATTATTTTTTATAGCAAACACAACGATGCAAGTATGAATCAACATGATCAAATAGAGAGTGAGTCTCATTGCTATAACTCTTTTTTCTACAAATATGTGATAACACATAAGGTTTTAATACTATATAAATATTTTTTTTTTTTGTTTTATTTTATTAGCAATATATTATAATTAATAAGAACAACAGTGAATTTATTTCTTCACCTAATTTTGTTAAAAAAATATTAATAATATATTATATAATACACTCTGTTATTAAATTAAATTCATTTCAATTTTTATAAATGATGTAAATTTTATTTACTACGTAATTAGTTTCATATAAATATTATTTAATAATAAAAATTGTACTAAAAAATATATTAAAAAGCAATTAAAATCATTTAATACTAAAATAATCAAATATATTTTGACAAAAATATATTTAACTATTCAATAAATTTTAAGATCATTTCAATAAAACTTCAATTTTAAGAAAATATAAATTATTTTAACTTTATTGCTCTCTATCTCTATTAATATTACATTTTGAATTTATTTTTTCTGAAATGAGGATAAGCAGTAAATAAATAAAAAAAATCAAAGTATTTCCATCCTTGGTTTAAATTTATGAATTTTGCAAAACATAACTATTTTTAAATTAATAATAAATAAAACACTATTTTACATTTTTTTATTATTTAATAAAAATTAAATCTCTATGTCTTTTCAACAAGATTACTTACAATCAACGGAGATTTGTTAGAGTGATAAGCGCTTCAATATCACTTAAACATAATCTTAAATTTAATTTCTTGTGTACGTAAAAGACCTTCAGTAGTAGCTCAAATCAGATTGTAGCATGTCTTCTATCAAATAATGAAAATAACAAACACTTGAGAATATAACATATTTGTCTGCTTTTTTAAGTAGAAAGTGACAATATATAAAATATTTATTTCATTTGAAATGTCAACTTAAATATTTTATTTTTTCACCTAATTTTGTCATAAGATCAAATAAAATAAAAGATTATTTACGACAAAAATAAAATGAAATAAATTTAATTACGATAACCATTTTATACTTTCAATCTAACTAAACTTTCATTGACTTGAAAAAAAATTTAATTTTTAATATAAAAACACTCCCTCTTTTGAAAAGCAGCAAAATATATTGATGAATCCAACTTAATATTTAGTACCAAGAAGTGAGACTAAACACATAATAAAAATAATAAGAAAAGAAATTCATAATGATAATGTATAATTATTTAATTAAACTCAAATATATATTTAAATATACTTGTATTTTTTTAGTTAAAATTAAGTTAGATTGATTGAATACACATACTTGTTGTAGCATGTCTTCTATCAAACAATGAAAACAACAAACACTTGAGAACATAATATATTTTTCTATTTTTTTAATAAAAAATAACAACATATAAGACTTTATATATTATATAAATAAAATATTTATTTCATTTGAAATATCAATTTTAAGATTTATTTCTTCACCTAATTTTATCATAATCATTTAAGATCAAATAAAATACAAAATTACATACAATAAAAATCAAATGAAATAAATTTAATTAAGATAACTATTTTATACCTTTAATCCCACTAAACTTTCATTGATTTTTGAAAAGCAACAAAACATTGTGAGGAACTTAACTCAATCTTTAATACTAAGAGATGAGACTATGCTTAATATTTAGGTACCAAACACATAATAAAAATGATAAGAAAAAAAGAAATTCAAAATGATAATGTATAATTATTTAATTAAATTCAAACATATATTTAAATAAACTTGTATTTTTTTTAGTTTAAATTAAGTTACATTGATTGAATACACATACTTGTTGTAAGATGTCTTCTATCAAAAAATGAAAACAACAAACACTTACATAACACATTTTTCTGCTTTTTCTAGTGGAAAATGATAACATATAAGACTTTATATATTATATAAATAAAATATTAATTTCATTTGAAACATCAATTTAAATATTTATTTCTTCACCTAATTTTGTCATAATTATTTAAAATCAAATAAAATAAAAGAATACTTACAACAAAATTCAAATGAAATAAATTTAATTAAGATAACTATTTTATACCCTTAATTTGATTTGAACTTTAAGGTGTTATTTTTTATATTAAAACACTTCCTTTTTAAAAAGCAGCAAAATATTGTGACGAATTCAACTCAATCTTTAGTATTCGGAAGTAAGACTATTCTTAATATCTAATTACCAAACACATAATAAAAATGATATTGTATATTTATTTAATTAAACTCAAATATATATTTAAATAAACTTGTATTTTTTTTTAGTTAAAATTAAGTTTGATTGATTGAATACACAATTTTTGTAGATGTCTTCTATCAAACAAACAATGAAAACAACAAACACTTGATAATATAACATATTTTTCTGTTTTTTTTAAGTGGAAAATGACAACATATAAGACTTTATGTATTATAAATATAAAATATTTATTTCATTTAAAATGTCAATTTAAATATTTATTTTTTCACCTAATTTTGACATAATCATTTAAGATAAAATAAAATAAAAAATTACTTACAACAAAAATCAAATAAAATAAATTTAATTAAAATCACTATTTTATACCCTTAATCTAATTTGAACTTTAAGATGTTATTTTTTATATTAAAATATTTTCCTTTTTGAAAAGTAACAAAATATTATGACAAATTCAACTCAATCTTAAGTACTTGGAGGTAAGACTATTCTTAATATCTAATTACCAAAAACATAATAAAAATGATAATGTATATTTATTTAATTAAACTCAAATATATGTTTAAATAAACTTGTAATTTTTTTAGTTAAAATTAAGTTACATTGATTGAATACACATACTTGTTGTAGCATGTCTTCTATCAAAAAATGAAAACAACAAACACTTGCATAACACATTTTTCTGCTTCTTCTAGTGGAAAATGACAACATATAAGACTTTATATATCATATAAATAAAACATTTATTTCATTTGAAATGTCAATTTAGATAGTTATTTCTTCACCTAATATTGTCATAATCATTTAAGATAAAATGAAATAAAACATTACTTACAACAAAAATCAAATGAAATAAATTTAATTAAGATAACTATTTTACACCTATAATCTAATTTGAACTTTCAAGTGTTATTTTTTATATTAAAACACTTCCCTTCTTGAAAAGCAGCAAAAAATTGTGACAAATTCAACTCAATCTTAAGTACTTGGAGGAAAGACTATCCTTAATATCTAATTACCAAAAACATAATAAAAATGATAATGTATATTTAAATAATTAAACTCAAATATATGTTTAAATAAACTTGTATTTTTTTTTTAAGTTAAAATTAAGTTACATTGATTGAATACACATACTTGTTGTAGCATGTCTTTTATAAAAAAATGAAAACAACAAACACTTACATAACACATTTTTTTGCTTTTTCTAGTGAAAAATGACAACATATAAGACTTTATATATCATATAAATAAAACATTAATTTCATTTGAAATGTCCATTTAGATAGTTATTTCTTCACCTAATTTTATCATAATCATTTAAGATAAAATGAAATAAAAGATTACTTACAGCAAAAATCAAATGAAATAAATTTAACTAAAATAACTATTTTATACCCTTAATTTGATTTGAAAGTTAAAGTGTTATTTTTTATATTAAAACACTTCCCTTTTCGAAAAGCACAAAAACATTGTAACGAATTCAACTCAATCTTTAGTATAAAAAGAAATTGAAAATGATAATGTATAATTATTTAATTAAATTCAAATATATATTTAAATAAACTTATATTTTTTTCAATTAAAATTAAGTTAGATTAATTGAATACACTGTATACACATACTTGTTGTAGCATGTCTTCTATCAAAAAATGAAAACAACAAACACTAACATAACATATTTTTCTGCTTTTTTCTAATGGAAAATAACAACATATAAGACTTTATATATTATATAAATAAAATATTTATTTCATTTGAAACATCAATTTAAATATTTATTTCTTCACCTAATTTTGTCATCATCATTTAAGATCAAATAAAATAAAAGATTATTTACAACAAAAATCAAATGAAATATATTTAATTAAGATAACTATTTTATACCCTTAATCTAATTTGAATTTTAAGGTGTTATTTTTTATATTAAAACACTTTCCTTTTTTGAAAAGCTACAAAATATTGTGACGAATTCAACTCAATTTTTAGTATTCGGAGGTGAGACTATCGTTAATATCTAATTACCAAACACATAATAAAAATAATAATGTATATTTATTTAATTAAACTCAAATATATGTTTAAATAAACTTGCATTTTTTTAGTTAAAATTAATTTATATTAATTGAATACACAGTTTCTGTAGCATGTCTTCTATCAAACAATGAAAACAACAAACACTTGATAATATAAAATATTTTTCTGCTTTTTCTAATGGAAAATGACAACATATAAGACTTTATATATCACATAAATAAAACATTTATTTCATTTGAAATGTCAATTTAAATAGTTATTTCTTCACCTAATTTTGTCATAATCGTTTAAGATAAAATGAAATAAAAAAATTACTTATAGAAAAAATCAAATAAAATAAATTTAGTTAAAATAACTATTTTATACCTTTAATCTGATTTAAAAGTTAAAGTGTTATTTTTTACATTAAAACACTTCCCTTTTCACAAAAACATTGTAACGAATCCAACTCAGTCTTTAGTATGAAAAGAAATTAAAAATGATAATGTATAATTATTTAATTAAATTCAAATATATATTTAAATAAACTTGTAACTTTTTTAGTTAAAATTAAGTTAGATTGATTGAATATAGACTTGTTGTAGCATGTCTTCTATCAAGAAATGAAAACAACAAACACTAACATAACATATTTTTCTGCTTTTTCTAATGGAAAATGACAATGTATAAGGCTTTATATATCATATTAATAAAATATTTATTTCGTTTGAAACATCAATTTAAATATTTATTTCTTCACCTAATTTTGTCATAATCATTTAAGATCAAATAAAAT